CAAGCACTTTGTTCATTTCCACAGTGGAATAAGACGAGTTGAATGGCAGTATTATCAGCTAATGCTGGCAATGGATAATGAACCTGCTTTGCAAGGTGTATCCATGATGTACCTGGAGATTGAATGGAATGCTAATGTGGTTACCAAAAATTAGTCTTCTGACAAAATGTAACTCAAACCCAGGATGCACAACCTCAGGTCTTACTGCCTGAGGTAATTTAAATGAGTGAGTAATATAAAAGTGCAGTCCTATGCATTTTTCATAAATGACGCAATTTGCTATAGATACCAAATGCGCTGATGTGTTTGTTTCTCCTCTAAATTTGAGTGAATATACAGGACATGTACATCAAACAAACTAGAATTTCTTCGAGGAGACAGAAACGGTTACATTCTTTGTTCTAATTTCTGATCATCAGAGGACAGACCTGTGGCATGCTCGTTGCTTGGTGGGGTCCTGTTATGGATGTTCAGGCTGAGGCTTGTTGTTTTGTCCATCTTTGTTTTTTTTTTATATATATAATGAGACACAACATGAGGCTGCATGCTTGTTGACTTCCAACCTGTCAGTCACAAGTTGCTGAACAATGAGGTCTTCGTTTGTGACTCACATGGGGACCACGGTTTGCAGTGTGGACTTCATGCTATGTTTCAGTGCAGATTGGGATTGGCCACTTGAGGCTTGGTGAGACAGCCTCAAGAAGCCAGTAAGGGAAATGCTGCGGTTTCCAGATATTCCCAGTTAGCCATTTGGATACATCTGGCTGTTTAGCTGCTAAATGCTCTAATTTCTTAACCAGCTACTAACTTCAGTTGCTTGGTGCTGGGCAGGGAGCATACAATAGGCTTATCATGGCTTTCTGACAAAACACCTGCATGTTACATCGGTAAACGGGGCTGATAAGAGCAACAATAAAGGGAGTGGAGAATAAAACTAAAATATCGATGTGCCACATTCTCAACGGTGTAGAGGGGAATTGCAGTTGAATGATTTTTTTTTTGTCAGCTTGGCTCAGAGTGACCCCTTCCACAGACCACTTAGTTTCAGGATCTATTGTCCATATGAAGGGAAAAAAAGATACCGATTACTGGAGATTTATAGATTACAGCATGCATCACGAATGCTTTTGTGTATAGTTTTGTGTGCTTTGGTCATTGTGGAATGGAGTGAACTAAAAGAGCCATTTCATGTCATTTCAGTACACAGCTATTCTGTTGAGGTGTGTGAAATAGTTGCTGTCCGCAAGACAGAAGACTATGACCAAGACGCTGCACAGACTGGGAAACATCAAAAAAAGACAAAACAGCTGTATCGCTATGCATTCACAGGTATGACATTTACAGAAGCATTTCATTATCACTAGTTTTATAAAAGTTATGCAAAGCCCAAAGTAAAAAATGTAGCATTTTTGTCTTTAAAAACCCCCATCAGTTTCTATCCTATGTCTCAGTCTTATTAAAGTAAAAACTGAACTGATAAAGTAGCCACTTTAACCTCTGTTGCTTCTTCCAACAACTGAACCTGAGGCCAGTCTATATCAATGTCGCCTTGAATTTCCTGTAGTATGTTAATGCTACATTGCAGTTGCACTTTGGCTAAGCGTGCCAAGAGGCTGTGTTTAGTGCCACAAGTCGCAAGTGATGTGACACTAGGAATAAGCCTGTAGACAGCTCCATAGTCAGAAAGTAATGCATTAACAAGAGAGTCCCTCACAGCTTAGCAGACTGGGTCTAAGATGGCAGCATGCCAGCGACTTTGGGGCTAATGCTTGATTTGGAGCCATTAGATTATATCCAAACAAGATCGGATTTACATTATGTATCACAGCCAAATGTTAAAAATTACCTCACTAATGTGAGCGTTTACTGGCAATGAAGTGCGTCGAGTCTGACACGACTGCATTTCCACAGTCTGTGGAAACTTGGCTTCAAAGACGCACCCCATCACTTACATCCTGATTATGTAACATATTAAAGGATAATTTTGCACCCACTCTGAGCGTCTCTTTGCATACCCCATGGTGAGTACGAGGTACGGTTAGTGATTTGGACAGCACAACTTTCCTGAAAAGTTAACTTTTCTATCTGATGAAGAAAATGCTTAGTGTGATAATTTCACTTTGAAATGCTTAGCGAGTGAATCTGCTGTCAAAGTGCTTAGTGAGTGAATTTTTCCTTCTTAATGTAAATATTTCAGTAATGTTCCTAGCAGGATATTATGGGACTCTGTCTCTACTTTGTGTGTGTGTCTGATTATGAGCACAGCCCTGTTTCATTTAGGAAACTAATTTCTTCATGCTTTCATTTCTATTTCATTTCTGTCATTTTAAAGGATTATTCTATTCTATTCTATTTCTGACATAAGCGCATATCTGAATAATCTGTGTGTTAAGGATAAAG